TGCCTCCAAAAAGAAGAGTAATGTAACTTCTAAATCATTTTCATGTAATTTAATTTCCTTTTATCCTTAAAGCTTCTGAGGCAATTGGAGGTGTGACGGAGAGAGACAGTGGTCCCCAGAGGCTGAAAGGGTGCCAGGGTCTGATCTACCTTTGCCCCACATTCTCTAGACCAGGGACCTGGTCTTTATCTGAAGAGGTTCTAGCAGTTCCTGTGTGCAGGCAGGATGCATTAGACATATTATCTTAAATTCTCATTACAACTCAATGATGTAAGTATAAACATGCCCACTTCATAGACGAAGAAAGCTGAACCCTGAGGTTATAACTAATATGCAGCAGAACCAAGATAAGTTGAGGCAGTCCTGACTCCCACACAATCCTAAACTGTCCTGTGACAGCAGCTTCCCCAGCCCCAGCACAGCCTCTCCGGTCTGACTGTCCCAGGACCCAGGAGGCTCTGAGGAGGTGTCCCAAAGCCCTATTGTGTTAGATGAGGTTATCAAAAGGACGTGGCCATCGGTTCACCCGTGCACTGGACCCCAGCCACCTGAGGCTCCTCACCACCTCCCCTGTCCTTGGAATGTGCATTCCACTTGCCTTCCCCCTCCTAGAGGCTGCCCTCGGGACACAACCTTGAGATAGTGATGTGGTGCTGAGACTGTCTGGGTAGTATACTCAACTGAACCCACTTAAGGCCTCCATATACACTTTTAAGATTTTGCGGCAGGTGCGGAATCTATACATCTTGCGGCGGCTGAAGACAAGCCTCATATATAAGTTCCCTTGCCTATGTAACCTGCTGCCCACCAATCTGGGTGGCCCGCCTCCTTCTTTGGTCTCTCTCTGCCCTTTGATTACAGAGGCTGGTTTCAGATTACACCTGGGAAGCTCCCCAGGTGCTTACCAACCAACATATCGCCAGAGCTGTTTCTGCCCACCTGGCTCACAGGTACCTGGTGTGGACAGCAGCCAGAAAGACTATGAACACTTCATCTAGAATAGCTCCACTTTCTCCCGGCTTAAAATATTAAGCTGCTGGAAGTGTCTGTTGATGATTTCGGATTTTCTCACTGAGGTCATTTGCCAAGAGGGGTCAGGGAAAGGATTTCTAGAAGACTTGCCTGAGATCACCCTCATGAAGAGCCACAGCGGACCTCTGACATGGAGTAGGCACTCAATAAACAACAGGCCCCCTATGCAGCTTTCCCTGAGTGAGACACTTTGCACATAGCAACTCAGTCAATTCACACGTTAACCCTATGAAATAGGTACCATTTTTACCCATTTTATACGTGAGGGAACTGGGGGTCTGACAGGATTCGAGAACTTGCACAAGGCCACACAGCTAGTGAGAGGAAGAACCTGGCTTTGAAAGCAAGCAGTCATGAATTCAAAGGCCATCAGCTGCTCCAACATACACGTATCCCAACAGGTTTGCACCTCACGATCCCTGAGCTCTGCCTAAGACACACTGTGTGGAAAGATATTTGGGCCCCCGGGTGATCCCTTATTCTCTACGTTAGCCTGCACAGAAAAGTCCTAACTACATCTCTAACAGTGTTTTCCATTCTAAGTAGCATGCACGAGATACATGTCACACCCGTATACTCCCTTATAATGATGGCCTCAAAGGAGTTAACCCAGTACCAGTAGACTTTTAGCAAATACTCATTATTTTTTTCTGATTTTAAAAGCAACACACATGGGGCGCCTGGGTGGCTCAGTCAGTTAAGCGGCCGACTTCGGCTCAGGTCATGATCTCACGGTCCGTGAGTTCGAGCCCTGTGTCGGGCTCTGTGCTGACAACTCAGAGGCTGGAGCCTGTTTCAGATTCTGTGTCTCCTTCTCGCTGACCCTCCCCCGTTCATGCTCTGTCTCTCTCTGTCTCAAAAATAAATAAACGTTAAAAAAAAAATTAAAAAAAAAAAAGCAACACACAGTAAGAAAAATACTCAAAACCAAACAACATGGAAATGAATAATGTGTGGGGTGCCTGGGTAGCTCAGTCGGTTAAGCGTTCAACACTTCATTTTGGCTCAGGTCATGACCTCAGGGTGTGTGGGATCAAGCTCTGTATCAGGCTCCACACTCAGCTCAGAGCTTGCTTGGGATTCTGTCTCCCTCTCTCTTTGCCCCTCCTCTGCTCTTGCTCTCTCTCTCTCAAAATAAAATAAATAAACTTAAAAAAAAAAGAAATGAGGGGCGCCTAGGTGGCGCAGTCGGTTAAGCGTCCGACTTCAGCCAGGTCACGATCTCGCGGTCCGTGAGTTCGAGCCCCGCGTCGGGCTCTGGGCTGATGTCTCAGAGCCTGGAGCCTGTTTCCGATTCTGTGTCTCCCTCTCTCTCTGCCCCTCCCCCGTTCATGCTCTGTCTCTCTCTGTCCCAAAAATAAATAAACGTTGAAAAAAAAAATTAAAAAAAAAAAAAAAAAAGAAATGAATAATGTGATAAATTGAAACCCTCCATAATTCAGGTGGGGGGTGAAGGACAGAATAAAGGTAAGATGTCAGTGATACATGTAATATGTAAAACAAAACATACAAAACAAATCAACAATGACTTAACAGTCTTGTAAGGGCTACTTGGATTCTGTTGCCTCAAAACGACCCCATCAAAAGATCTCAGAAAAAAATTTAAAAAGCAAGGCAGAAACCCTTGAGCCCTCAGTTGCACACTTCCTCTGTAGACCAAACCTGCATTACTGACCAAACAGCCCAGTTTGCCTGGGGCTGAGGTGTTTTCAAAGTCACAAAAGTTTCAGGGCCCAAATCAGGACAGTCGTGGGGCATCTGGGACAGTTGTTCACCATAGATTCACTGGCCTGGTACTTTCCCCTTCAGTTCTGGTGCTGGCCCCCCAAACCAGCCAGGTCTCCACAGCTCCCAGCTGTGTAAAGTCACCTCTGGGGCTCTGTCTCTCTTTCTTCTCACTGCATCGTCTGCCCTTCACCCTCTGCTCAGTGTGTTCCTCCATCCTCCTCCCCACCACTCTCCCCTGCACAGCTCAGGGCGACAAATATTTCTGGAGGATCTGCTCTGTGCTCAGTTCTCTCCCTGGTGCCC